GTCGCGGGCTCTCCACCTGGAAGGAATGCCAAAAAAAACCGCCGCAGGCGCCGAAAATGATGGTTTGTACCTTGAACGTGGTTTGGGTCGAAGGTGGGTCGCGGGGTGGGTCGCGGGGTGGGTCGCGGGTGGGTCGGGGGTGGGTCGCGGGTGGGTCGCGGGTGGGTCGCGGGTGGGTCGCGGGGTGGGTCGCGGGGTGGGTCGCGGGTGGATCGCGGGGCGGGTTGCGGGTGGGTCGCGGGTGGGTCGCGGGTGGGTCGCGGGGTGGGTCGCGGGGTGGGTCGCGGGTGGGTCGCGGGGCGGGTCGCGGGTGGGACGAAGACAACAAACAACAACAACAACAACAACAACAACAACAACAACAACAACACCAACACCAATAACAACAACAACTATAACAACAACAACAACACCAACAACAACAACAACAAACAACAACAACGAGAATCCGCACCGCGGAATTCCACTTCAGCCACGCACCTAGGGACAGCGAATGACCGTTCGGCCCCCTCACTTTGACCATGCGGGCCACTCTCGCGCGTTTGCCGCGCGCGAATTTCGAACTCCATCCAAAACCTTCATCACCGACGCGAAAACGCCATCATCGTCGTCGGTGTGTTCAGCATCGGCGCCGTCATTGGCTGCCCCGTCGTCGCTGTCAGCATTGTCACCAGCATCGATACTATCAGAATCGTGTCTACCGTTGTCGAGGTTGCCACGATACCGCGCTCGCCCGTGTCACCGACTCGCACTGACGTGCCTGCTGGGATGTACCGAGCAGTCAGCGCCACCGCGTTCGCGTCGGTCGCGCCAAACTAGCTGGCCGCTGCGCGCGCGAGCATTCGCAAGCTGGCGCAGCCGCAGGGATGCACCAGACAAAGCCAAGCACTCACCGCAATCGCTTCCGCATGGGTTTGGCAATCCAAGTTGCGGGTGGGCGGGTGGGATGATTGCGCGAGCAACGGAGTGGACAATATCAAGCTCGGCAATTCTCTCTATCCCCCCGGATTATCGATACCCTTCTTCGTCTTGCAATTTAGTACGTTCTTGCCCCATCGCCCATCCTAAATATGAGTCCATACCAGTCCAGCCCAGCCGGTATTGACCCCCCGTGATCCTTTGGAACAAATGCTATGCGCGCGCCCTCGTTTCTCACAAAAATCAGTTTTCCACATCTTCTGGAAGAAATACTATCGCCCGAAGTGCACACGCGCGCGTCGTCGCGCGCGCATGCCGAAATCTTTCAAAAACTTCCGGTTCCGTCCGGATTTCAAATCCATCGAGTGTCCAACACACAGATAACAAAACAAAGCCAAACACACACACACACACACACACCGGGTTCCGCAACACGGATTTCCCAAACAAAGTTGCGCGCACGTTCTTCCGATTTTTCCAGAAAGCCATAGGTTTGTTCCAACCGGGCTTCGCGTGCGCGCGTGTCGAAATCGTTCGAACACCCGCGCGCGCGTGCCGTCGCGAGAACCTTGTGCAACAGAAGAGACGAGGTGCTCACGCGCGCGTCGTCGCGCGCACATGCCGAAGTCATTTGTATAAGAATGGCCAGCAACCGTTCAAAACACATGGTTTCGCAACATCAATTGCTTATATTAAACTTGCGCGCGCGATATTACGGATTCTTAAGAAACGTAGGTTTTGTTCAACATGCTCATGGAATTTTGCCAAACGGGCCTCTGGCGCCACACGTCGACATCATTCGCACGCCCTTGCGCGCTTGTTTGGGGGGCACGATCCGTGTCAAATTAAGCCGCGCGGGCCACTCGCGAGTCGGCCGCGCGCGCATGCCGAACTTTTTCCAACACCCTCATCGCCGACGCGAAGACGCCGTCATCGTCGCCGGCGTGATCAGCATCGGCGACCGCACTGGCCGCGCCTTCATCGGTGCGAACATCGTCACCAGCATCGCTACTATCATCATCGTGTCTACCGTTGTCGGCGTTGCCATGATACCGCGCCCGCCCAAGTCGCCGACTCGCAGTGGAGTGCCCGCTGGGATGTGCCCAGCGGTCAGCGCCACCGCGGCTGCGTCGGTGGCGCCAAACTGGCTGGCGGGCGCGCGTGCGTGCTAGGGTTGGCTCGGCCGCAGAAATGCACCAGCCAGCGCCAAGCATGCATCGCAATCGCCACCGCATGGGTTTTGCAAACCAAGTTGCGGCTGGGAGGGCGTGATGTTTGCAGGGGCATGGGATGTGCCGGCTCGTCTTGTAATCAAATCACGCTACATATAATGCACGTCGCAGATTGCCGACTCTTCCACGGCACAGCAAACCGCGGAGAAAAATTATAGAAACTGCGGGACGCACCGCAGGGTGGCTAGCCGGACGCACCCTTATCGAGGATGGACGCCTCCCTGGCCCATTTTTTAATCCATTCGAAACCCCAGCACAAAGCCTGGGATAGGGGTCAACAGATCCAATGTCAGATGGGAAGATGCGAGGACCAGCGTTTAAAAGGTCGGACCTTATTCCCGAGCATCGAGCAGACGATTAGACATCATCGGCGCTCCTGGCTCCAAGCACGACGCATTCCTGAGCTAACGAGGCATCAGTATGAGTGGAAACCCACCCAGGTGAGGCTGCGCCTTTTCTCACAGGTCTCGTCGAACCACCAGTGCCAGGCCCCCCTCGAGACGATGGCGTTATTTCGAGCACACCTGGCGCCCCGCACCCCCCCGTCACCATTTGGATCACGGGTCGCGCCGCCACCTGCTGCCACCGCGCCTGCTCGCGCGGAGGCGGCTTCGAGACCGGCGACTTCGACCCCGAGAGATTCGGCGACTTCGCGAGCCCCCGCGGACACCGCCGATGCGCGGCAGGACCTGCGCGCGGCCAGCTTGCGGCTGCTGGCCCCCCCGCCCCCGAGCGCCGCGCGCCTCTCGGCGCGGTCTCGCCCCGCGAGGGCCCCTAGGACTGAGGCGAACACTAGAGCGACCCCTTCGGCATCTTCGAAGGCGGCGCCTGGCCGCGCTGCCCCGACACCTGCGAGATCGACGCCCTCCCATCCTGTTGAGCCTGCTGTAGCTGCGAACCCAGACGTCGCCGCAGGACGCCAGCGGAAAGGGGGAGCAGCGCGGCGCCTCCCTCCATCATCGGCGGCGTCTTGGAATGGTAGCTCTGCGAGCAAGGAGAGCGGCAGGCCGCCAGCGGCCAGGCAGAAGGCGGGGGGCGGCAGCGCTCGCCCCGCCCAGAAGGACGAGGACGCGGCGTTGGCGGGCGAGGGCCAGGGCGAGCCGCGCCGCCGCCGCGGCAAGCACACGGACAAGACCTGGAGCTCCAAGGACAAGAACCTCGCGGACATGCTGAGGATACTGGCAAAACTTATACTCCAGATATCACATCGAGCACGCATGACGACGGCCGCGGCCATGGGCGCGATCATGTACCCGACGGCGCGCAATGCGATAGTGGGGATAAGCGACTGGGTCGAGGCCATTTTGGAACCAGGTGGAGACGCTGCGCAGCTCCGACGACGCGGCGACGGCCCTCAAGAAGCTCGGCGCTCCGACGGCAGGACTCGTGGTCGACTTCCTAGAGGCGCTCGCGCAGACGGACACCGGAGTCCTGGCGAAGGCGAACATCACACAGCACTTGGCGAGGATCAGTGGCGGCAAGGGCGCGGAGCAGGCAGTGACAAAAGAGATGCGAGAGCAGTCCGCGGCGCCCATGCGCCTAAAGAAATGCTACGAGGCCGACAGGACCAAGCTCATAATCGCCATGCGGGGTTGGGAGCTCAGAGACATCGTTATTTAAGCAGTTCGCGCAGAGGGAACAGGAGTCCTTCGCGCAGGAGAGGCGCCGCCAAGGTAGCTGGAGGAGGAGCTGTCGCGTTGGGCCGACGCGTTGTCGAAGTGAGCTCCATTCGCCGCCCCATCCATTTTGTGCGCTCGAGCTCTCCGCCTCTTTTCTCCCCCCCGTGCCGCCTGTCCGCGGGATCCGCAGCTCGTCCTCCTCGCCCCACCCACCGCCTCCGCAGGACGCACCTGCCCCCAGCGCATCTCCCACAGCAGGTGCGTACGACGCAGAAGAAGCAGCCCACTTTCTAGGTACCGACTAGAATGATCTAGCCCCCCGAGTAGGGTAAGAATGAGTCTCCGCTCTGGCCGCCTGGAGCCGATTGAGCGTTTGGAGCACGCTGCGCACAGCGAGATTTAGGCTTCGCACTAGCCACAGGTTCACGCGCGAATGGCAGAGTCGACGGCAGCACATCATTGCAGCTCCGAAGTGCTCAATTTTCTACCCAGATCCGACGCCATGGCTGTACACCACCACCGTGCACTCATACCTTCATTGCGGACGTAGAATAGTCGTCGTCGTGGTCGGTCCCCTGTCCGTCCCTCTTGGGGTCGGGTCGACGGTCCGCGGCCGCCCCGCCGATCAGCGCTGCCGCTGGCCAGGCCGACAGTCCGCGGCCGCCCCGCCGCTTGCCGGGGCCTGGCCTGCAGGGAAGAAAGGTATACCCCCAAGAAGAGGTTCGATCGAAGACGAAGATGGCGGGTATCGAGGGTTTGGGAAATACGCGTTATTGGACACTCGAACACATAAGGGCGAACAGTCTTAAAATGATTGTCGTTGTTGTTGTTGTAGTTGTTGGTGAGAAAAGGGGTTCTAAACAAATAGTTGTAATGGCAATACTATTAATGGTAACATTCGTAACAAAACGAATCACATTATTCAAAGTATTAATGATACGAGTAATAATAATAGTAATAGTAATAATAATAAGCAAGCGCGCGCACGAAGCCCAAACATGCACAGGGAATGGGCGTCCGAACGATGGCAAGCTTCGGGTTTCCGGGCCAGCGCCAAACCCCCATCCCTGCGGCGTCTGCGCCGCCGCCCCGCGGCACGCTCCCTGTGCCAAGGAGGGGGGCCCAGGGCCGACCCGAGACATCATGGCTGTTTTGTTTCTGCTTGTTCTGCAGAAGGCCCTTTGCCAGGCGCATCCAGTCGCCCCCGTGGCTGCCCCCCGCCTGCTGCGAGGTGATTCCGCTGCAGGTTCCCCTCGGAGGCCTCCTTGCGCTCGCCAACAACGCGGTGTTCTACGTCAAGGAGTCGGCTTGACCCTCTCGCTGTTCTCAGACCCTGGCAGCGTTAAAGAACACGGTGGGCTGCCTTTTGTCGGGCGGGGCTAGGATTGGGACGACTCGTTCCGGGGCCGGAGCTCTTGAAAGGCCGCGGCCTCTCAGAGATCCCCGATTTGTCCGAGTCCGATGTTGGCCTTGTTCGGGCCTCGTCTTAGTTTGCCGCTGTCCGTGCTCAGGGAATTTCGCGAATCGATCTGGATGATCGGGCTCGCGGCGTGCATCAGGAACGCAGAGTTTGCTGTTGCGACGTTGTGATTTGTGGGGTTGCAGGTTCGCATCTCGCGTGTGTTCGTCGTCCGCGGGCGTATGACGCGAGACCCAGCTAAAACAGGCTCAGCCAAGCCAGGCACAGATGATATCGGCTACGATGAGCTGCGCCCATACAAGCCATGCCAACCTCCCAGTCCGCGTTGGCGTAAGCTGCAGAATGCAGCGGCTGGGCAGAGCAAAGCAGCACAAGCGAACGGGAAGATAACGCAACGTCAGATACACACACGTGCTTCATCACAAGCATCATCATTTAATAGCGAGCAAGAGTAAGCATATAAAACACACGCAGCGAATGGCATACGCAAGCGTGACAATGCAATCGTATGCCTAAGAATTTTAGCGTGTCTCAGCCATGGTCACGTGCATGACCCTTTTCAGACGTGCATGTGCGATCACACGCATGGGCAATATCATTCGTGTGTCCAGACGCACAGCCACAATCACATTCAGACCGCATGCCTTTACATAGTTCGACAACAGGCAGGACAGCTTGAATGTTATCATATTATGCAAGTCGGCGCAGGCTGCGTAAGCACTTGCGTACATACACATTCGCAGGCATACATTGACTTCAAAAAAGCAGCAGGAATGCCTCACCAAAGAGGGATGGACTTCCTGAAGGCAAGCCCGCATAACGATTCCAGTGAAATGAGCACGGTTGTCCTATGATGTCTTTCGTGCAAAACATGTCTGGTGTACGCCGCTTTTGCTGTGGCGTCACTGTGAGCACAATCTGCGTAACATCGCAGGATGTATCCATGCGCGGCCCGAGCTTACTAATTGGCCTGGTGTGAATTCGATTGCGAAGGCCTTAGGGCCGGCGCCGCCGACCCCGAATGGAGACGACAACGACAACGGCGGCGGCGGCGGCAACGACGACGACGCTGACGCGGGCCAGAGTCCTCAGGAATGGTTATTTGGATCTCTTCGGAAGTCTCTCAGGTGCCTCTGGGGAGGATTTGTTGGGTCTCTTTGGGGCCTCTTGGGAGCCTCTTGGGGGCCTCTTGGGGGCCTCTTCGGGCTTCCTGGGGACCTCTGGTGGGCCTCTTGGGGCCTCTTGGGGACCTCTTGGGGCCTCCTGGGAGCCTCTTGGGGCCGAAGGCTCGACATGTCCGTTCGGGTCCCCCATCTGGGCACGCTCTTGGAGCCGTCTTGGGGGTCTGTTGGGCTGTCTTGGAGTGTTGGGCTGTCTTGGGGTCCTCTTGGGCTGTTTTGGGGCCCTCTTGGAGGCCTCTTAGGCCGTCTTGGGGCGACCTTGGAGGCCTCTTGCGCCGTTTTGCAGCGGCGTGCATTGGAAAAGGCGAGAACGCCCAAATCTTGAAAAATCCGAAAGGGAGTTTGGCCTCTTGGGGCTCTCTCGGAGTGCTCTTGGAGGCGTCTTGGGACCCGCCTGGAACTCTTGGACCGTCGCGGCGGCCTCTTGAGGCACTCTTGGCCTGTCTTGGTACTTTCTGAGGCCCCGGGGCCCCCAGGGGGGATGGGTATTTGACCCTGCCTCCCGGGATCGAAGGGAAGGGTCTTCCCCTCGGCTCCATTACGATATCGCTAGATTTTTCTCGCTGGCAAGCGCGTCCCGAGCGTACTAATGGGCTCGGTGTGAATTCGATTCTCGGTTCTCTCGGCAGCTGCGTCAGACGTTCCAGAAAGCTGGCAGAAGCTGGCGGAGGCAAAACGACGGGGCCTTGGCCGACGAAAGCTGGCGGACGGTTGGCGAGACTCCAACGTTTATGAATCCAGGATTTTTGTAACCGGTCGTGTTCAAGTGGGATGTCAGAAAAAGCAAGGCTGCACTCTGTTCTGCCATCGGTCGGGCCAGGTGGTTTGCAGTCGGTGCTTCCCACGTTTCGCAGGAGCACGGCATCTCCTTCTGTCAGACTCTGAACAAGAACACGACCTTGGGCGGGGAGTTCTCCAGAAAAGACATGCAAGTGAAGGACGAGACGGAGTTCTTCTTAGCTGAGTGCATACTTGCATTGTCGAGTGCATAAGTGTGCTGCCTATCATTGCAGCGCGGACCGTGTCGTTTGGAACTTTTTGGAATTGGCAGCAGGGTTGCAGTACTTGATTGGGCTTGTGGTCGCCGACGGAGTAAGCTGGAGCAAGTTGCTAGAGTATCGGACGATCGCAGACAGGCCATACATGCGACCGAACAGAAAGGCTGAACATCAAGGCTTTCTGGGCTTGTGTTTGTCAGGATTGAGAGCTAGAGGGGGATGATGGTAGAGAGGGGAGGGGGAAGAGGAGGGAGGGGGGGGATATGGGGTGGAAGGAGGACCGACAGGTTCGAGGATCGAGGTTGGAAGTTGTTTTATGTGTTGGCTCTCTTGAGGTTGCGGAGGCCTCCATGGACCTAAGGGGACTGCCAGGACCTCTGGATACTTCTGCATTCCTCTTCGGACTTCCCGAGACCTCAGGGAGTGAGGAGGAGAAGAAGTCGGGGTCGAATGTCTTTCTTGACCCTGTTCGTTTTATCAAGCCGACCACCGTGTCAGCGTTGTCGAATTAGATTCAGATTCTTTGTTCTGAAGTGCCGAACATGATCAGCTGAATCATCTTACGGTCGTCCCCAGGAAGCACCTATACGGTGGCGCTGGATCAGCATTACCTGGTTATTGCGTCGCGTCTTGGGGTCATGTTAGGTTTCTGGGATTGCTTTTCTTCTGGCTCGCCTTAGCGCCGCGCGGAGTACGAGTGTTGGAACAGCTTGCAACTGTGGAGGCTGGATGGTTTTGAAACGGGGGTTCTCTTATTTATTCTTCTCAAGCATGTTTAACAAGCGAACGGTTGGAGGGCGGGCAGTGGGCTTTCAGAATGCGGCACCAGCTTGATTGCCCGCGTGCGCTCGCATCATAAGTTTACAACGGGAGCTTGTTTTCGATCTTTTGGGGGTAACGTCCGTCCTCCCCCTTTGCCCCCTCCCTCCCCGCAGCGGCCACGATCGCACAAGACGGGCACCCCCAGCTCCTCGCTCTCGCAAGCATGTGGTGGTGCTCGCAGGCCATTGCGATGGCCATGCGTTTTGCATGCTGTGGTGATCGCGCACCGACGTGGTGTTCGCAGACATCGTGCGGCGCGAACAACATCACGCGGTGCCTCGCTACGCTGTCGCGCCCGCAGGCTATTGCGGAAGTGATTTGTTTCGTAGCGGTCAATCGGCATGAAGAACATTTGGGAGAGATGCAGGTGGACAAGGAAGAGGATGGCGGAGGAGGAGGAGGAGTAGGAGGAGGGAGCAAGACGACGACGGCAACGACGACCGCGATGATGACGACGACGACGACGTCGACCTCCAGAGTTCGACGTTGTCGTCGTCGTTTCCGTCGCTGTGCTCGCAGGCCCAGTGTCATGCTTACGGGCACGTTCTGTCGCTCGCAGGCTTTCCGATACTGGTCCGCCGCATGGATATGCATGTTGTGGTGGTGCTCTTCGTGTTACTCCTATGGACTTCTAAAGCCCTTGACAAAACTGCTGGCAGCCTCGGGGGCCCTCACAGATTCTTAGATTCTTCCGATGGGCTCCAGAGGCGTGTGGACGTTGTCGTCGCCGATGACGGGCATCCAAGCTTTCACCGGCGCCGCCGATTCCCCCCCTCCCCCCTCAGGGTAACGGACGTTACCCAGGGAGGGTGCAAAAAGGCTCTGCAGTCAAGCGTATGGAGGGCGGCTCCGTCTGAGAGTGGGGCGTTGGCATGATTGGGAGGCCTGGGCGCCCTTCCCTGGGATCGGTTCCCCCCCTACGAGTCCGAAGAGGTAGAAAATCCGTCCGTCGAGATTGGGTGAGGTTTCGGGTTCAGGTGGAGCGGGATGGAAAGTGGCATAGCTCGCTTCAGACGCAGACGGTTTAACATTTCACAGCGATCCCGCCGCATGCGCCGACCTTTCTTTGTCAAAGCAGCGGGTGGGACCCTGGCGGGTCGCGGGCGTGCCGCGAGTGGGTCGCGGTGGGTTGAGGGCGAATTTCGGGTGGGTCGCGGGCGGGTCGCGGGCGGGCGAACCGGCCGCGGGGGACGACGACGACGACGACGACGACGACGACGACGACGACGACGACGACGACGACGACGACGACGACGACGACGACGACGACGACGACGACAACATCACACAGTTTCTTATGATTGTTCGTTCTTATATGCCCGCGTGTCATTTGGCATGTGTATCCCAAACCCTCGATACCCAACCGCATCGTCTTCGAACAAGCCCCCTTCGGGGATTCACCTTCCCTGCCTGCCACGTGTAGTTGGCGCAGCTCCTAAATCAGGGGAAGGCGGGGAGAAGGGAGAGGAGGAGGGGGAGGGAGAAGGACGGGAGCACGAGGGAGATTAGCAGAAGGTGGGCTCGGAGCCGGAGAACAAGCGGCGGAGCCAGAGCGGGCAGGTCGGGTGGGCGGGGCCAGCCGACGGGGTCGAGCGCGTGGCTCGCCGAAGCGTCAGTCCTGCCTGACTCGCGGGGGAGTCTCCAGCGATAGCGGGGAACCCAAATTTGTGGTGAGGAAGTTCACAGCGCGAGCGCGAGTCCTGGGTGTTGGGGCCGCGGCGTGTCGATAGGTCGCGACGAGGTGCCACGCGAGAGCGCGGTTTTTGGATAAAGTGTGGGGGCGTCCCGCGCGAGAGCGCGATTGTGAAAAAGTTGTGGGTAAGTACGAAGCGCGACACGTTGATTTGGTAAACCGGGGGCCAACAACACAATCTGAGGCGCAGGATTGTTCCTTGCCAAAACCTCGGTCCGAGCTCCAGGATGGGCATTTCAGGGGACAACTGCAAAAATGGGCCCCGAAGGGGGAGATCAACAACCATCAGTTTATAGGAATGAGGAGCCAACAGGCATCACACCATTGTAAGGTGGTTCGCTCTTCGTTGCTCGAGTGTCATCATGTAAACTGTATGCCCTAAATCGTCAATATCAGCAGACTTCGTCTTCGATCGTGCCCCATTTCGAGATACATCCTCCATGCTTGGCACGTGTAATGCAGCGGCCTCTGAAATAGAGAACGAGGGACAGGGAAGAGGGAGAGAGCCAGGAAAGAAGGAGGAAACGCGGAATCAGGGGACAAGAGTGAGAGTGAAGGACTGAGGGCGAAGAAGGTGTAGCAGGAGGGCGAGGACAGAGGAACCTTATGTTCTGGCAGGCGGGCCCTGACGGCCGGGTCGGGAGGGCGGACCCTTGACGCGGGTCGGGCGGGGGGAGCCCTGAAGTGGGCGGCAAGTCAGATTCCCCTCGAGGCTTTCCCAGCATCACTTTGCTGTTTTCTGGCCCTCGTTGTTTCGTGGCCCCTTCTCTTCGGTCGTGTCCCTCCGCTCGTGTGTCTGTGGTTTCCTGGGGCCGTCGCTCGCTTTCTAGCGGCCCCTCGGGCCCTTCCGTCGCGCGCCGGCTACGCGCAGGATTTGTTGTTCTGACGATGACCCGAGGATGAATCAAAATCTAAATCAAAGATTTCAAGCGCGGAAGAGGGCGGACCTTGACGGGCAGGTCGGGCGGGCGGATCCTGCCGGCGGCTCGGGCGGGCGGACCCTAGCGTGGAGGTCGGGCGGGGGGCGGACCCCAGCGAGCGGGTCGGGCGGGACATTGCCTTGGGCGGGCGGGCATTACGCAGGCGAGCGGTTTCACCCTAACAAGCGGGTCGGGCTGGCCGATTCCAGCGGGCTGGTAGGCGAGCGGGCCCTAACGACGAGGTCGGGCGGCCGGAACACTGCAGCGAATGTTTGCACATTGCGAAGAAGCCTTAGGCGACGCTTGAATCCATTGCATGTAAAACTTGTGCGAAAGCGCGGTTCTGGAGTAAATTGTGACGACGTCCCGCGCGAAAGCGCGATTTGGAATGTGTGGAGCTAGCTCTTGAATGATTAGTGGCACGAAGATGCCGACTCTTTCCATAACATATATTGCTCAAGATTTTTTGCGGCAAACACTTCTCGCCGTGCATGCTTCCCGGCCCCACGCAGCCAGGGCAGGTCATTCCCGTGCGGGAGCTCAGGGCTGGGCTGTTGAAGGGCGCCGAGCTGTTCGCCCAGTACCTGGCCTTCTCGCAGGCCGTGCCATCCCGCCCCGACTGCAGGCTGGTCTGCCCCGCGCTGTCTTGTCCAGCGCCGCACCTCTCGTGCCCGAGATTTGTGGCGCCCTACCTCACGTGCCAGGCCCCGCTGGTGCAGCTTGCCTGTCCCGAGGCTCCTCAGGCGCCGCCGATTAATCTGTCCTGTCCTGTCGCCTACCCCTCACCCGCTGAGGAGGATTTCTTCGGCTACGATCTGCCCTCCCTGACTGTTGGCATGCTCGTCGGCAGCGTGGGCAGTGTGGGTGCCTCCTCGTGGGGAAGGCGCCGGAGTCGAGGGGACCAGGACGACAACAGGGGAGTGGAGGGGGCGGCTAGAGCGCAGGTCGCTCAGCTGCGCTGGCGCCATCCTCTCCAGCGCGCCTGATGGCGTCGCCGGGCGACTGGGTCCTCATACGGTATGATCTACCAGGGCCCGAAGTCTGGCACGAGCGCCCCATCACTGGGGTATCGGTCGCGCAGCCCTCCCTCGTCTCCACTGTCACCAACGACGGTGATCACTTCGCAGAGGACCTCAGCCAGCAGAACGACGACACTGCGGAGGTGAGGTGGATCGGCCAGCCTGGGGACACTCCAGTCGGCGTGGACGGGCGGCGGATCTACCTACAGGTTCCAGAACCCTCCCGATGCGGCTACCTTCGAGCAGCTGAAGCGCGACGATGCCCTGCCGCAGGTGCTGTCGCTGCCGTACCCGGGGGTGCAGGAGTCGCTGGAGCCGCAGTCCCACACAGAGGAGCCGGTGTGGCAGGTGTCGTGGGGCGTGCTGGTGCTGCTGTGCCCGCGGCGCCTCCTGGCTCAGTGTGGGTCTCGACTGAGGACTGCCACGGACTCTCTCGTGGTCAGGTGCTCCCCGACCCGCTCCCCGACGGCACGCAGGTGCTCGGGGACTGTGCAGCGGTCCTCCTCCCAGCGGGCAATGTGACGGCCCGTCTGGTTGCGCGCCGAGACTTGGAGAGCTATGTGGTTGATGACCTCAGGGTGATGCACGCGAAGTTCAATCAAGAGGGAGTGCGACGACGGCCCTTCTCCGACGCCGTGGACCACCAGCTAGCGGACGAGCCAGAAGGAGGGTTCATGGTCGAGGGCCCTCGCACCTGCCTGTCCATGGTGCGCTCTTGGAGTGACGCCGGGCTCTCGGCGGTGACCCACCACGAGAGCTAGGTCCGCGGCGGCAGGATCCCAGAGGGGGACCGTTCGGTCTACGAGCACGAGGTGGTCTGCAGGGTTCTCGAGTCGATGCTGACAGTGGACCAGCTCAACATCGGGGCTCTGCAGTCGGCCGAGCTTCTCGCGAGGCGCCCCCAGCTCATCGAGGATGCGCACCGCGGCTCGCCGTCCAACCCCGACTATTCGGCCAGTGACGTCTACATGGGCCTCGCCACCAGGAAGGACGGTGCGTCCACGGTGCCGGCCTTCCAGAAATACATCGCCGAAAGTTTGAAGGACAGGTCGGCTATCCTGAAGGAAACACGCAAGGCGAAGGAGGAGGCCAAGTTGAGGAGGAACAACCCCAAGCGTGCCCCAGGCGGAGCTGGGGCAGATGGCGGATGACCTCCTCAGGCTGGAGGCTCGGGCCGACCTCCAGCCGACATCAGGCCCCCCAGCGGGAAGTGCCCGCCGCAGTTTTGTCTTCTCAGCCTGACCGCAAGCGTGACCTTTTCCCGCTGCCGTCGGTGGTGCAGACACCGCCCACGAGGCCTGGGGCCTCGGTGTGTGCGTTCGCCACAGGCTGGCACGCCGCCGCACCCTTGAGGCGGAGTGCAACGAGGTCATCGAGGGCCTCAACATGCTACACCCTCCTGCGCTGCAACGTGGCGCTCCCAACGCTGCTCAGACTGAGGCCATCGGGCCATTTTTGTCCCAGGTGGAGGCTGCCCCAAGAGCCATCTCCGTGTACACCCGCCGTGAGGCCGCTCGTGAGCTTCTGGCAAGCAGCCTCTCGTACACCGGCAACGAGGCCAAGAGTCCGGTTGTGCAGTATGACAGATCTCGTGTGGATATCCCCAGAGTGGGATCGGCAGTGCCCCGGGTGGAGACGGTGATCGACCCGGTCGGGAGGGAGTATGTACTGCATTTCGAGACGCGGATGCTATGCTCTGCCGATGAGCGGGGTCAGATCGTTGAGACCGAGCCCCCCATCACCCCGTACATGGACGACTACCTGCGGAGGCATCAGGACGCTTGCATCACTTTTGTGGGTGACCTGGTGGCCGCAGGCATGGCGTCGTTCTCTTTCAATCCTAAGGACATCGTGACCCCGCTTTCCGTTGCCAAAAAGAAGGGGCAACAACGCCTCGTCTGGGATGCTCGCGTTCCGAACAGGCGTTTCCGCCACGCGCCCCCTCAGAGTATGGGCACGTCGGCGGCCTACGGGAGGATCGATCTCGGGTGCGTCTCCGACGACAGCGGCAAGTTCAGGGGCACCATGTACTGCGCCCAGGCCCACATACGCATCTACTTCTACATGCTGGGCCTCAGGGAGGAGGTCGGCTTGTCCTTCTCACTGCCACACGTGCCCGAGGCTATGATGTCGCAGTGGGGTCGCCGCGCGGTGGGCGCCCCTCAGGTGGACCGCGGGGGCTGGGTTTGGCCCTTCCTCTCGGTGGTCCCGATGGGGTGGAACTGGGCATTCTGGCATGGGCAGCGGTGCAACGTCTTCCGCTGCTTGCAGGCGTCCTCGCTGGGTCCTGAGCGTCTGCTCGCGGATCACGGTCCAGTTCCATCTCTGGAAGGGGGTCTGCCGTGTCTGCTGCCCTATTGTGATAATATCAACGTGGTGGGCACTGATCCCGCACGATGTGATAGCATGCTCGACGACATCATTGCCGATTGGGTGTCCTTCGGTGTCGAGGTTCACGAGGTGGCACGAGCCTCGCCGACTTTCACCGGCCAGGGGCGTCTCGTCGACGGAGTGCAGGGCATGGTGTTCTTGAAGCCCGAGCGCTCCGAGAAGCTCCGGCAAGCCTGCCTCTGGCTATAGAGCAGGCCGAGGGTCACAGGGCAAGAGATTGAAAGTTTTGTTGGTCACGTCATTGATCACGTTATGCTTCGGCGTGAGTTGCTATGTATTCTCAGGAACCTCTACGATTTCATCAGGTGCCACTACACAGAGAGTGCGCCTGTGGCCCTCGGCGGCGCTCGAAGTCTTCCAGTGCCGTTCGCTGATGCGTACTATGTTTAGCAACAGCGGTCGCCACAGACGCATGCCTCTCAGGGATGGCTGTGGCTACAACCTCCCTTCCTTCCGCCAGCGTTGCGCCCATCGGAAGAACCAGCGAGAGGTGGAGGTACAAAGTTCCGTCAGCTATTTCAGCGCGTACGTCTGCGCTGGGCCCCACACTGGACTCCGACGGGATCGCGACGGAGATCAACAAGGGGCACCGTCTCGGGGAACAGCTGGATGTCTTCGGGGACGCCGACACCGTCTTAGGTTTCAAGGGCTCCCACAGCGAGGACCCCTGGGAGCTCAATCCCGACTTCCGCGAGGTCCCCTTCGAGTTCCTCAGGGAAGAGCTCTGGAGAGAGGTCCTCGCAGCCCCCTTTCACGCATCGGAGGCCATTGCTGTCTTGGAGGCCCGGGCCAGCAACGCAGGGTCCAGACATATACTTCGGTCCTTCAGGGCCTTCAACAAGCGGCACCTGAAGTTAGGCAACGAACTGGGAGTCATCCTGGCCCCTTTCCAGAGGCAGATGTTCGTCTTTCGGGCTCCTCCTGTGCTGTCGCCGGGAGGCCTCTTATTCCATCGCAGCCAACGTTCGGTTCGAGCGCCGCTGGATCCCGTCCGAGTTCAACCGGTCCGACCACGGCTCGCGCCGCTGGGAGACCAAGGATGGAGACATCTCGCCTCCGAAGGGCCCCCGCCCGCCGCGCTGCCCAGGTAGCCCGCCCACTCGACAAGGCCAGCCAGCGGGGTCGGCCGTTCGAGGGCAGCTCGCGCGAGGAGCGGGCCGCCAGGAGGGCGGTGGCCTCGTGCGAGTTCCACGGCACCCAGGAGGGCACCCATCCCTTCCTGGAGGTGAACGCTACGGCCCCCGCCACGCAGGACGTCTACTTGGACTGCAAGCTGGAGCTCGAGTGTTTCGTCGTGGCCCGCGCCCTCTCACTGGCGACCCCAGCCGAGGACGACCGTGCGCCGACGAACTCGCCAAGTACGCCTGGGCAAAGGGCCTCGACAGAGGGGCCGCCCACCGGCCCTACGCAGCCTTTCCTTCAGAGCGCCCCGACTTTTCCCAGCGGGGCGTGCTTCGCCTCCCGCGGTTGTCGCGAGCGACGCAGGGATGGGAGAGGCTAGGCCCAGGTCTCGCGAGGCCCCTGATGCTGTGGATACTGACCTGCCTGGTCGCCCTGATCATGATTGTCAACCTCAATGCGCCCATGGCAGCGCTCATGGCGCTGCCGTTTTTCCTGGCCTACCTGCGCCCGTCCGAGGCGGGGGGCCTGCTCGAGGAGGATCTGGTGCCCCCGTCGGCGTCGCCCGCCTTCTTCGTGCTGTGCCTCCTCCCCAGCGACCGCGGCGAGGTGAGCGAGGTCAGGAACTCCGACGAGTCGATCATGCCCGACTTCGTCGAGGCAGAGTGGCTCGACGATCTGCCGCGCGCGGTCAAGAGCGGCTCACCGCGACGCCCGCTGTTCAGGCTCGCCGTGTTTCAGCTGCGCGGCTTCTGAAGCAGGGCGCTCAAGATCTTCGAGGTCCCCAACGAGTGCGTGTTGTGCCAGCTGCGCCACGGGGGCCCTTCCCACGACCTACTTCAACGTCATCGATCCCTCCCCGAGATCAAGGGGCGCGGGAGGTGGGCTTCCGACAAGAGCGTCAGGCGCAATGAGGCGCACGCGCTCACCCAGCAGCAGGAGGCCACGCCCCCCGCCGCCATCACCAAGAGGGCCAGGGACCCTCCAGGGCAGCTCGAGCGCCTCCTGCGCGAGAACCTGGGCGGTCAGCGCAAGCGCGGTGCCAGCGGCCGGGCCTCCACGGGCCCGAGGTCCGCCGCGGCGCTTCGGGCCGCGCGCGGTTCCGCCAACCTCTCCAGGGCCGTGTGCGAGCGCGGGCTTGCAGCCGAGGGCTGGGACTACATCGACGGGGCTCAAGCCGACCTCGCAGACCCACAAGTGATCGCCTGCTTTCGCCAACGCATTGCTTCTAGACAGCTGCGCGGTTTGCACTTTGGCCTAGACTGTAAGACCTGGTCCAGAGCCAGGAAAAAACGACGGGTTCGGCCCGCCCCCTCTCCGCAGTGACGATTGTCTTCTCGGCCTTCCATCCCTCTCGGCTGCTGACCAGTCGAAGGTGGATGAAGCCAACCTGATGTTGTCACACGTCCTAAGTCTGATAGAGGATGCTGCCGCCGCCGGCCTGTTCGTTTTGCTCGAAAACCCAGCTTCATCCAGATTTTGGCTCGTGCCGCAGCTTCTTGTGTTAGTAACCCGCTTCAATGCAAAGTCTTAGCGTGTGGACTACTGCCAGTATCACGTTCCCTGGCGGAAGGCCACGATCTTCCTGTCATTCAAGTTTCTTGTGTTAGATAATGTTCTCTGCGCCTGTGATGGTATCCAGGTGCGCTGCAACGCCACCGGTCAAGCTCACATCACCTTGCGTGGGAAGGACTCGCAAGGATTGTTCCGGACGTCTCGTGCCTGCCCGTACCCCCTGCCCTTTGCTCAGTCCTGGCGGAAGCGATCTGCCAACGAGCCAAGACACTCTTTGGAGGTGGGTAGGGGCTTCAGTTGCGTGGAGGCAGCGAGCTGCCAACTCTCGAGCCGCCCAACGCATGGGCGACGCGATTCGCTATTGCAGACATGGCCATAATCTATTTTGCCCTGGCAAAAAAGAATTTGGACATCGTCACATCTTGGCATGGAGTTGAGCGTTGATCATTTGTGGAGTTAGCTCTTGAATGAGTCGCGGCACGAAGATGCCGATTCTTTCCAGTACATATATTGCTCAAGATGTTTTGCGGCCCCACCGTCCTTCCCCTTTCTCCTCCGTCCTCTTCTTCTCCCTATCGGGGCGTCAGTTGTGTGGAGGCAGCGAGCTGCCAACTCCCGAGCCGCCCAACACATGGGCGACGCGATTCGCTACTGCAGACATGGCCATAATCTTTTGGCCCTTGCAGAAAAGAATTCGGACATCGTCACATCTTGGCATGGAGTTGATCGTTGATCATAAGTTGTGAGGAGGCATCAGGCGGGAGCTTCTCTGCCCATCTTTTCTTTGTCCATTGAAGTTCCCATTCCGGAGCTCGCGCCTTGCTTCTTACAGGAGAAAGTTTGGCGTCTCGGATTGTATCCCGCATGATATTTTCTCGCGCCTTTTCCAAGTCGCGCTCTCTCGCGGGCCGTCCTCACACGTTAATCAGGAATCGCGTTTTCGCGTGGTATTGAGTCGCGGCGGCGACCTATGAAAACGCCGCGACCCCAACACACTAATCGCGCTCTCGCTGTGGTCTTCTTCACGATTTGCATGGGAATCGCGCTATCGCTGGATATTTCCTCGCGATTCATGCAGGGCAGACGCTTCAGCGAGCCGCCCGTTCGACCCCGCCGCCTCATCCCGCTGGGCCGACCCACCCGTTAGGGTCCGCCCGCCCGACCCGCCCGTTTGGTTCCGCCGCTTGTTCTCCCATCCTTTTCCATCTCCCTTGTCCTTTCCCTCCTCCCCCCGTTCCCCTGATTCAGGGGTTGTGCCAACTACACATGGCAGATGGGGAAGATCAATCCTACAGCTATCGAAGACTTGAGATGCACGTGTTGCAGGGGACGCGCATGCAGACAAGAGCGAACTGTTTGAAAGTGATTGTTGTTGGTGTTGTTGCACACTGGGGGCGAAAACGCAGTTAGAAGTGCAGCCCCAGCCATGGTGGAGGGACTTCACTTGAAAAACACAACGGGCATGGATGAGGGGGATTAATTTCTTCTGGATCAGGAATCCGAATTCAGCAACAAGAAACAATACCGCATAATCCCACTTGAGACACGCCCCCAGGGACAGTGTAACACCGCTCGGCTCATTTCACGTGGATGACAAACGTCTGAAAATGTAGCCTTGTGCATTATGAGTATATTTATGGTGTTCATCACAGCCTTCAGAATGGTCATCCAAATGCGCGGGCGGCCAAACCTTGAACAGAGTGTAGGCCAACATGTAAAGACGTTGTTGACATCCGTATTCGTGAGTGGCCGGAGCGCCTTGAGATAAGGGCGAACGCGCTCTAAAGGTAGGCCGCGCTTCTACATATCTCCCTTAGTCTTTCAGCGCCGGTGAGCCCCAGATTCCCAAGGTTAGAAATCCTGTGCGCCGCGAGCGCATGGGAAGCCTCATTTGCCACCGACTTCTCTTCACGATTCTAGGGTTCAGTTCGTCCGTCTCGCGGCCGCTCGGGACCACGTCGAACACCCCCAAAACGCTCCTGGCGAGGCGCAGCTGCCGGAAAGCACCCCGAGACTGGAACATTCCCCAGAAGCCATCGAAAAAAACGTTTGCTACTTTCTGCTGCGGATTCACCCAGGGCATCGGGGCGGCCCTCCTTCGCCGTCGCTGGCCGGCCGTGCTCCTCTTCGCCCTGCGGATTTCCCGGCCTCCCGAGTGTCGTCCGATCAGATGGAGTCGGAGGTTCGCGCAGCATCGACGGCGCCCAATGTGTAGCCCGACCTTCTCCACGCCGAGGGCGCCGATGAATCGCCAACGCCGCCGATGCATCGGTGATGCATCGGCGAAGTGGCGCGATCCTCCGTCCCCATCTGCTCCGACCCCGTCCGGGAGGCCTGTGCGATAACGGTTAAGTCGGGCTTGTCTTTGTACAGGGGGAATTTTCAAAATTAGTCAAACAATGAAATGGGGACGATTTGTTTATTTTGTTTGAATATTTGTTGGTGAATATTTTTCATTTTTTCCTCCAAAATCCGCCTGTGGGGGGGGGGGACATGTCCGACCTAACGATAACGCGAGGGCCGCCGCCGAGGCGCTCGGCATCGTCCTCTCCGGCTGCAGCGCCGTGGTCCTGTCGCCGACCGTGGTGCTCCTCTCGGTGCAGCCTACCGGGCGGCTCTGGCTCGCGCACCTCGTGCACACCACCAGGCCGGTGCGGCCGGCTCGCCCTGGCGGTGAGATGCTCGTAGAATCGTGAAAGGCGTAGTCTTCCAGCAGAGGCGAAGCGTACCAAAGAATGTTCTAAGAACCTTTTGGAGTCTGCAAGATATGGTCTTAGAACATTTCTGGCTGATATTGTCTTGTGTTGACGCATCGGGCTTCTGTTCTAAGGACAGCGCGTTCGTTATTAGAACATTCTTGGGTTCTGAACATATTTCGTGGTAGGCCTCTATCACATGCCGGGATGGTCGGTCCCTGCTCAGTTGTCTTGCTCTGCGTACAAAAGTGATGCACTTACGGTTCTTGCCTGGCTCGTAAGATCGCGAAGGGCCTTGTCTCGTTCTGCATCAGGGCTGGGCCCAAAAGGTGTTTGGGGTGATTTCGTGGGCCGTGCTTCTGTCTCGACTTCGTCTTGCGGTAGAGGCGGATTCGACACAGAAGCGAGGGACAACGCAGACAAAACGAAAACGAACAACACCGCTCAGGTTCGGCCCTGCTCTGCACGCGAGGGTGACCTGCCTGCGGTGTCGATCGGGTCTGGGCACCGTTCTCTGCTGCGCCGCCGCAGGCCCAGGATCGGCCCGTGGCCTACCTTTGCGCCCGCCTGCGTGCCGCAGTCGTGGCGTGCTCCAGGCGTCTTCGGATTCCACGCTGTTGCATGCTTGGCTTGGGTCGGGCTTGTCCCTCTACAGGGGGGAGTATTCTCAAGTAGCTTGAGAGATGGTCTGGGGACGATTTTTCTGGTATGCTTGAATCTGTTTGGGGTATGTTTGGGGTATCTTTATTTTTTCGTCCAAAACCCGCCTGTAGGGGGGACATGCCCGACCTAGTGCTTGACGACGCTGTCTTTCTCTCTTTCGCACGGTTTGCCGGATCAGGAGCGAAACGTGGAACACGGAGATTGTTTTTTTTTGTTTCACGCGTTGTGCCGAATCAGGAGCGAGACGTGGAACACAGGGGGGACCACACAAGACAAGCACAACCGATCGCCCCGAGTGTTTGAACCCGTCTCGTCGCGAAACAAATTCGACGGACGGTGAAACACTGACGACATTCCGGGCCTGAGGTTGAACGAAGAGGGAGGAGGAGTTCGAAGAGGAGGTCGAGGAGGTCGAGGAGGTCGAGTGAGGAGGAGGTCGAGGAGGTCGAGTGAGGAGGAGGTCGAGGAGGTCCTGTCCCTACGGGCCTGTCGATTTTTCGCCAATCGACTTGTGGAAATCGAGCTAGATAAATCCAGGTGAACGCAACACATCGAGGCAGATCCAGGTATGTCCAGGCACATCGAGACACCTCCGGCAAATCCAGGCAAGTCCAGAGATCTCCAGGGAAAGCTGGAGCAACTCGCGGCCGCTCCAGCGTGAGTCGAAGGACGGCAGAAGTCGTTAAGCCTTTCGCGTTCCGGGGGGAGGCGGAGCCCCGACCCCCACCATGTTCTTTTGATGTTCCCGTCTGTGCACGTCTGCCCCCAACCTGCGCGGCACTGCGCTCGAACAGCTGTGCGTATGCTCTGAGTGTGCGCTCAGAGGAGGAGGGTCTCTCCGAAGGGCTTCGGCGACCCGTCCTCCTCCTCATCGTCCTCTTCCTGCTCTTCCTTCCTCCTCCATCTCTTCCTCCTCCATCGCCTCCTTCTCCTCCTCCTCCTCCTCCTCCTCCTCCTCCTCCTCCTCTTTCTCCCTCCTCCCTCCTCCTCCTCCTCCTCCTCCTCCTCCTCCTCCTCCTCCTCCTCCTCCTCCCTCCTCCCTCCTCCTCCTCCTCCTCCTCCTCCTCCTCCCTCCTCCTCCTCCTCCTCCTCCTCCGCTCCTCCTCCTCCTCCTCCTCCTCCTCCCTCCTCCTCCTCCTCCTCCTCCTGCTCCTCCTCCCTCCTCCTCCTCCTCCTCCTCCTCCTCCTCCTTCTCCTCCTCCTCCTCCTCCTCCTCCTCCTCCTCCTCCTGTTCCTGTTCCTGTTCCTGTTCCTGTTCCTGTTCCTGTTCCTGTTCCTCCTCCTCCTCCTCGGGTCGCCTACGGCCCTGGGGGAAACCGTGCACCTCAGATGAGGAGCGGGTACCCCCACCGCTACCCTTCCCTCGTTTTCGCCTCGTGAGGCCCTCGTCGCCACCGCCGGGTTCGCCTCGGAGTTTTGGTCAGAAGGGCACCCTGGGAGACGTCCGGGCAGCAACGGTATCGTTACGTTTTTGGTGTTATTTTTCCATGACTTGCTTCTTAAGGACGAGGGGCGCACTCAGAGCATGTGCGTAGTTCTATACCCCGGAAGAGGGCCCCCGGCCCCCTGCGCGGCCGCCTCCCTTTTTCTACAGTCGACCCGCAAAGTAATCTAGGCCTCCTAGATGGGGTCGGAGTAGATGGGGTCGGAGGATCGTGCTGTATGGAAGATGCATCGCCGAATCGGCTCGATGCGGAGCCCGATTTTCTCCTCGCGGGCGTCGCCGATGCATCGCCGACGTCGCCGATGCATCGCTAGTGCATCGCCGATGCATCGCCGATGTATCGCCGATGCGGCGCGATCCTCCCCCCCATCTACCCCGACCCCATCCAGGAGGCCTCGAAGTAAGGCTGGGCAGCCTTCCCAAGGGTACCCTTGCATCCTTGCCTCTTCGGTCAATCGTGTCAATCCTTCGCCACTTTCGTTGGCCGCGCCCCGCTCGGAAAGCTGCGGAATGGGCGCACAAGGCCCTCGCATTCTTGTCGCGCATCCTTGCTCTACGGGTTGGCTGTGCCTCCGCGCGTCTCCTTATTCCTGTCCCTTGTGTGCCCTCTGGGGGGTCGAGCCTCCGTAGCCTGTCTGCCGCCTGGACCGCGGTGCGATCGCCCCACCGCAGCTGGCCAACAGAACGGAGGTCCCCAACCTCCTGAAGGGGTTCCCGTTCCATGGTGTTCCGTTTTGGGGGGTCGAGTTTCCGAAGCCGTTCGAGCTTCCGTGGCCTAGTTACCGGCACGATCGCCCCACCGCCGCCGACCAACAAAAAATGCGCCCCCAATATTTGGAGGGGTTCCCGTTTCGTGCGTTCCCTCTGGGGGTTCGAGCCTCCACAGCTTGGCTGCCGCCCGGACCACGGGGCGCTCGCCCCCACCGCCGCGGGGCAGCGGGGCGTGCGTCCCCAGCCCCTGGGAGGGGTTCCCGTTCCGGGTGGTCCCCTTGGGGGTTCGAGCCTCCGCAGCCTGGCTGCCGCGTGGGCCACGGGGCGATCGCACCGCCGCCGCCGAGCAGCGACACGCGTGTCCCCAACCTCCTGAAAAGGGGTTCCCGTTCCACGTGTCCCCTCTGGGGTGTCCAGCTTCCGTAGCTCGGTTGCCGCCTCGACTGCGGTGCGATCGCCCCGCCGACGCCGAGCAACGACACGTTTGTCCCCAACCTCCTGAAAAAGGGGGTCCCGTTCCATGTGTCCCCTGTGGGGGGTCGAGCCTCCGTGGCGTGGTTGCCGCCTGGACCGCGGTGCGATCGCCCCACCCTCGCCGAACAACGAAAACTATGTCCCAAACATTATGGAGAGGTTTTCGTTCCGTGTGTTCGAATTGGGGCTTCGAGTTTCCGTAGCCTGGCTGTCCCCGTGACTTCGGTGCGACCGCCCCACCGAAGCCAACAACCGGATCGTGTGTCCACAACCTCCTGGATGGGTTCCCGTTCCATGTGTCCTATCTGGGGAGTTGAGCTTCCGTAGCCTGGCTGCCGCCTGGACCGTGGTGCGATCGCCCAGTTGCCGCCGACAAGCACAAATATGCAACAGTGCGTCCCCAACCTCATGGGGCGGATCCCGTTCCGTGTGTCCCCTCTGGCGGTCCGAGGGGGGGGGCGAAAAAATGGCCGCTGTTGCGCCCCGCGCCAGCGGACCTCCAGCGAAATTTCTGCCGCAGGACCCATGGGGGCCTGTGGAACTCTGTAGAGCATCTTTGGGGCCGACATCGCGTCCAGGACATCGTTTTCTTTTGGGATGACCGCGGGGGTTGCCAGGGAAATGTGGGGTCGACAAGCGGATGCTAAGTTAGGATGCGATTCATGGGATCTTCAAGTCAGCAAAGACGTTGGTGTGTATATATGTGTACATATGTAAATGTATATATACATATACCAGAGTATGGTGTGTATATCTACATATACACATATACATATATATATATATGTGTATGTGTATATATATATATATCATATATTTGTGTGTGTGTTTGTATGCGTATATATATATATATATATATATATGTGCTTGGTGCCGGCAGGGATTCGTTGGTGCCAGAGGGGAGATCCGCAGATATTCACACAAGTGGAATTCAATGGCGTTGTTGTGGGTGTTGTGGGGGGGGTCGTTGTTGTGGTTGTTGCCGGGGGGGGGTCCCCACGGGTCGGCGCTGGCCGCCCTTGCCTTGTTGTTGTTGTTGTTGTTGTTGTTGTTGTTGTTGTTGTTATTGTTTGTTTGTTTGTTTGTTTGTTTGTTTGTTTGTTTGTTTGTTGTTGTTGGTGTTGTTTGTTTGTTTGTTTGTTGTTGTTGTTGTGATTGTTGTTGTTTGTTTGTTTGTTTGTTTGCTTGTTTGCTTGTTTGCTTGTTTGCTTGTTTGCTTGTTTGCTTGTTTGCTTGTTTGCTTGTTTGTGTTTGTTGTTGTTGTTGTTGTTATTGCTGTTGTTGTTGTTTTTGTTGTTGTTGTTGCTGCTGCTGCTGCTGCTGCTGTTGTTGTTGTTGTTGTTGTTGTGATTGTTGTTGTTGTTGTTGTTGTTGTTGTTGTTGTTGTTGTTGTTGTTGTTGTTGTTGTTGTTGTTGTTTGTTGTCGTCGTCCCACCCGCAACCCGCCCCGCGACCCACCCGCGACCCACCCCTCGACCCCGCGACCCACCCGCGACCCACCCGCGACCCACCCGCGACTCACCCCCCCCCGCGCGCCCACCCCGCGACCCACCCGCGACCCACCCGCGACCCACCCCGCGACCCACCCCGCCCACCCGCGACCCACCCGCGACCCACCCCCCACGACCCGCGACCCACCCGCGACCCACCCGCGACCCACCCGCGACCGACCCGCGACCCACCCCGCGACCTACCCGCGACCCACCTTCGACCCAAACCACGTGCAGGGTACAAACCAAATTGTTCGGCGCCTGCGGCGGGTTTTTTTCCCATTCCTTCCAGGTGGAGAGCCCGCGACCCACCCCGCGACCAACCCGCGACCCAAACCACGTTCAGGGTACAAACCGCATGTTTCGGCGCCTGCGGCGGGCATCTTATGCATTCGTTTCAGGTGGAGAACCCGCGGCCCACCCGCGACCACGTTCAGGGTACAACCCAAATTTTTCGGCGCCTGCGGCGGGCATCTTTGGCATTCGTTCCCGGTGGAGAACCCGCGGCCCACCCCCGACACAAACCACGTTCAGTGTACAGACCAATTTTTTCGGCGCCTGCGGCGGGCTGCTTGTGCATTCCTTCCAGGTGGAGGTGGAAAGCCCGCGACCCACCCGCGACCCAAATCACGTTCACTGAACAAACCAATGCCGCACAAGCGCGGCGGCGGATTTTTGCATGCCGTCTGAGCCCGCAACGACCTCTTCAAGCCCCGCGCATCCACGCCAGCCCGTCCAGCAACTTTGCCCTGGCGAGTTGCCTTGATCAGAGAAGTCGGGGAGCATAAAGTGGAAAAAAGGATTGCGTTGCCGTTATCTTGGGAAAGGAGGGGGAGGCAGGAGGAGTAAACAGGGGACGAGGAGGACGCGGAAGAAGAGAGGATGTAAGGAGAATGTGGAGAAAGAGGAGGAGGAGCAGGAGGGGAGGAGGGGGAGGAGGGAGGAGGAGGAGGACGAGGAGGGGGAGGAGGGGGAGGAGGATGATGATGATGGGAAGGACGAGGGGGGGAGAGGGAGGACGAGGAAGAAGAGGAGGAGGACGAGACGAGGGAGGAGGAGGATGACGATGACGATGACGACGAGGGAGGACGAGGAGGAGGAGGAGGAGGAGGAGGAGAGCGCCATCGACAGGGAAGGTGGGGGCCACGAGGTCCGCTGGCTCGACGACGCCCGCGTCGCCCGCGCCCGCCCCCTCACTCTTATCCGCAATTGCGGGGTGATACGCTTACATATATATATATATATATATATATATATGTATAGATTCCTCTTCCTAGATTTTTGCAAGCCCGGGCGGGGGGACCCCCCCCCCCAAAACCGGACTCCCGGGATCTGGGGCTTGGGGGCCTTCCGGACGGGCCTCGAAGCGGCCTCCCGGGCCTCGCAGGGCGTTTTGCCAGGCCTTCTCAGCACACCTAGGGTGATCAGGGGGGTCATCGGAGACGCCCCAGAGACCCCCAAGACAGCACAAGAGCGCTCCAAGAGTGACCGACGACGTGACCTCAAGATGGCCCAAGAGGCCTCCAGGACGGCCCCAAGGAGGCCTCCAAGAGCACTCCCAAGGAGGCCCCAAGAGGCAAAAATCATTGATTTTCTGTTGGTTTTTTGGTGAATTGTGGGGTTCTCCTCCTTTCGGCTTCCCGACGCTCCAAGACGGCGGTCTTCTGGGCGTCCGAAGCCGCCTGGGATGCGCCCCACAAGCATCCGAAAGGGCTTCCAGGCAGTCCAAGAGAGCCCCAAAACGGCACAGCACGGGTCCAAGATGGCCCTCAGAGAGCCCCATGGCGGCCCAAGATGGCCCCAAGACACCCTCCGAAGCATTCCAAATCGTGACCCGGTCGTTCAGGGAGACCGCGGTTGGAGGCAGGATGGCCCGAGGAAGCCCCCAGAGGCCCCCAGAATACGCCCAGGAGGCCTCCTGAAGGCCTTAAGCCTTAAGAAAGCCTGAAACAACTTTTGCGAGGCCCCCAGAGGTTCTTTAAGGAGGAGCCTCATAAAAAAAAAGAGCTGAGGAGGGTGGAGAGAATGCGCAGGGTATGGCGAAAATGCAGGAATGAAGCGTGGAGGAAGGATAACGAATAACACTATTATAGCGGCGATGCCGGAAAAGGCAACAAGAAGTTATCGCTAAATTGTCGGCTTGACCTTCCTGCTATTCCGCCTGCATACCAAACTTCAAGGATCAAGGTGCATGGCGCGAAGCGCCACTGCAGTCTTGTGTGTATATATATATATATATATATATATATATCCGTAGGGGCTTCGCTCCATGCCGCCGGCTTCCTGTCTCGGAGAATGGGGGATGCAAGAGCTAAATCATGAGGTCTGGGCGCCGCCGTGAAGCAGTGTCGGGACCTGTTTGTTTTTCGACCCTGACCCTACGGATCTGCGTGAGGGTTGCCGCCAGATTTCAGAAATGTGGCAAATCATTTGCGTTTTTGGAGCCTGACCCCGCCGATCTGCGTGAGGGGTGCCACCGAATGTCTGAAATGTGGCAAATTCCATGTGTTTTTGGACCCTGACCCCGCCGATCTGCGTGAGGGGTGCCACCGAATTTCAGAGATGTGGCGAATCTCTTTTATTTTGGACCCTGACCCCGCAGATCTGCGTGAGGGGTGTGGCAAACCCTATGTGTTTTTGGACCCTGACCCCGCCGATCTGCGTGAGGGGAGTCAGTTTTTACCCACCCCAGCAATTCAGAGCATACGCTCAGGGCGTGGTTAATCATGCCCGTTTTGGGCCTCCCCCCCTCGCGCGGTCCATTAGCAAGGAACAGCAAGCAGCAAGATGCAGAACTGTAACAGTGGAAACTGGAAGCTACAAAGAAGCAGAACTGAAACAGTGGAAACTGGAAGCTGCAACTGGCACAGGAAACTGCGAACCTTCGGCCTACAGCCTGGTGGCCCCACAAGGGGGCCGGCGGATACATTTATATATATATATATATATATATATATGTGACAATTTTCCAAATCCGATATACTCCCGCTAAATATCACCCGATCTGGCTTGGCCCCAATGAATCCTAGGCGTAATCCGGCTAATCTGGTCTACTGATTGTTTGAATTGGCTCCGTAAATCTAAGTTGTTTTCACAAAGAGGCCACCCAAGGGTTGCCTCCAAAGCGAAGGTGGGTTAAGTCTGGCGTAGCCTCCCTCATAAGTGGGTTGCGTGTGAACTCGGCGGCTTTGGTGGCTTCGATAACTCCACTAAGCTGTCAGAGTCCATGTAGCCCAGATCCGAACCACGCTAAGCAACGTTGGCCAGCAGTTCAAAACCCACGCATCGGCGCGATTTGGCCATACGCAAGCCACCCTAGCATTCATTGATAGCGCCCATCCGCTCAGTCGCCCCCGCGGTGATCCGAGCACTGCCAGCCCTGGCGCCCGAAGCACGGGCCCCAGACGCCGAGAACCACGACGCACCGTCGCTTCGCCCCTGTCGGGGCGCTGGAGGTCCTCATGCGGTCGCCCGCGGCGGCGCGGATATCATCGCGCGGCGCGGCGGTTGGAGGGGCGCCCTTCTCCAGCGCGGCGGCGCGAGGGCACGAACCCGGACCAACAAAAAAAATGGCGCGGTCCTCAGAGGTCCAGACCCACTCCCCCGGACCGATTCCTCATCCCGAATCGTTTTGTTGACGGTGCCGGGGCCCGGTGACCCGAGAGGCAGAAAAAAATGAAAGACCTTCCGTAACTCCAGGGGGCCTGGGAAGATGGTCGTTCGTCGCGCCCCGCGGGGCGCTGTGCGCGAGTGCGCACGTCGAGTGAGAAAAATTCGCCTGCAAGCAGGTGCTCTGCGGAAGCCCCTGGTCGCCCAGTAGCCACGGGGGCCCACAGATGATGCCATGGGGCGCCCCACGACGCCCCAATCTCTTTTCCTCCTCCTCCTCCTCCTCCTCCAGCCGCGCGCTGGTCACCTGCGCAAGGCTTGGGCGGGCGGTGCTTGGGACGCGGTGCTGCGGCACGAGGCGGGCTACATCCGCGGCCCCTATTGCCCATTCTCGGAAACTGGAACATATGCATGACCAGTGGCGGGTTGTTTTTTAATTCCAAGACTTTTTGAGGGTCGGGGACGACGTCGGGGTGGTCTGGTGTATACTTTTTCCCCGTTTTCGCGGGGAAACAACGAAACATGTATAACCAGGATCCCGTATACACCAGGATCCGCGTTCTTATGCGAATTTCAGCGCAGGGTCGGAAAAAGCGTCGCTGTATAGAGTTCGTTTCCCTACATTCTGCGTGGTGCCGACGCCTGGGACATGGGGCCACTGGTTCTACGAGTGCGAGAGGGTCGTCTCCATTGGCGGCGAGCCCGAGACGGGCGCGGCGCTGGTAGAGATGACGGAGCTGCAGCTGAGGACCAAGCAGCGCATGCGGGACAGGTGCCACATCGGGTTGGGCGACGCCGACTACGACCGCTTCGACCTCATCGTTGGCATGCCGATGGTGCCGTACGAAGTGCCAGCGGCGGCCAGGGTGGCCGACATCTTCTTGTGGGGCGACCGGGCGCTGGACGACGGCATCGACACCACGGTCGTCTACTCCGACGGCTCGGGGTACGAGCCCGCCACGCCCGAGCTCACGCGAAGCGGCTGGGCGATTGTGCAACTGGACGTGATGGGCTTGCCGAGGCGCGCCGCCTACGGGGCCCTTCCTGGCGCCCGCCAGACGGTGGGCAGGGCCTAGCGGTGGGCCTTCCTGCAGGCCCTGCGGCTGCTGCCAAGCATGAAGCTCTTGGTTACCGACCTGGCGGGCTTGCAGCGTGAGATCCTGGAGTGGGAACCTCGCCATGCCAGCTCGGTCGGCACCTACGCGGACATCTGGAGGCAGGTTTTCGAGGTGATGAGGGGCCAGGCGCCACCTGACGCGCTGGGGTGCCCCTCCCACTTCTCGTGCACCGAATACGCCGAGGACCCGTGCCGCGACGTCACGGATTTCCTCGGCAATGAGTGGGCTGACTGGTCTGCCAAGCAGGGAGCTCGAGAGCACAGGCTCCCTGCTGCGCTGGCGAACCTCCACAAGGTGCGGCTCTCCGACGCCGTGGAGGAGGCCTCCGTGCTGGCGTGGCTCATGACCGCGCTGGGCACCCTGTCTGAAGAGGCTCAGGGCCGCACGTGGCGGCAGAGCCTCCCGCCGCCACCAGTGGCGCCCGCCGAGATCGGCCGCCGCCCACCGCCTCGGCCGTCTGCCCGAGGGCTGGGCGTGTACAGCCTGCTCGGCCTGGGCCTCGGCCGCGACTGCGGCAGCGAGGCGCCGACTCGAGCGGGAGGAACGTGCGCCTTCCACCCTCCGCTCCCTCATGGCCCGTGCGGGGACCCGCCTCCCTCCCTCCGGCCCCGCCTCTCTTGCCGCGGCGCCGCTCCCTTCGGCGCGTGAGGATGCCATCGCCGTCGCCCGTCGCCCTTCGTGCTGCGGATCGCGTCCTGCGGGACGCGTCGCCTCGGCCTGAGGTTGGCCATCCTCGGCCCGCGGCTGCGAGACCCTGGACTTCGTCGCCTCCGCGGAGGCTCGGGGACCGCTCGAGGTCCCCTCGGGGTGGGCCCTTTGGAGGCCCTGCTGCTGCCTTGGTCCGCGCGTGGCGCGCGGCCCATCCTTCGGACGCGAGACCCTGGATTCGTGGCGCGTTCGGCGGTGCCGACATGCCTGGGGGCCCCTTGGGGGCGGGGGTCCGGGCTGGGGCTGTCGACCCCCTCTGGGGACCCGATGGGGCCCGCTGCGCTACTGGGCACAGGCCTGTGGCGCCGAGCGCAGCCGATTCGTCTCGGGTCCTGGGCGGGGGCCAAGGTGGGCCTGCCTTCGGCGGAGGGGCGGAGGAGGGCCGCCCCCAGGGGCCAGAGTCCCACGGTACAGCTGGTGCCCTGTCCAGGACCCATGGGCCCCTGGAGTCCCCAGGTGACCAGGTCGTGGTCATCCGTGGCCATGGGTTGGCCACGGAGAGCCTTTTCATGTTTCGTCTCGTTTGTGGCGGTTTGGTTTCCACCCGCCAGTCCCCAGTTTTGTTGGCCCCAATGGGCCCGTCACCTGGGCGGGCAGCGGCCCTGAGGCATCTCAAGGTTGGCCGACACCCCCGTACAGGGATACCCCTTGAGGGTGGCTTCCGCGGCGACCAACGCCGCGCCTGATTTCCAGGCTCCCCAGTTGCCGTATGCGGCTGAGGACACCTGCAGGCCCTCGCGTCCTCCCGCTTCTCTACTCCTCCTCCTCCTCCTCCTCCTCCCTCCTCCTCTCTCCTCCTCCTCCTCCTCCTCCTCCTCCTCCTCCTCCTCCTCCTCCTCCTCCTCCTCCTCCTTCTCTTCTTCCTCCTACTCTAACTCCCACTCCCACTCCAATTCCGTCTCCTCCGACGAAGCATGTGCTCCAATATTTCTCACAGCCAGACTTCCAATGCTATGCGTCGACTGCAGCTCCTCCCCAGGGACGTGGTCGACGACATCGTGTGGACCTGCCCTGGCACGGGCGCCCCCGTGCTGGACTTGTGCGCCGCGCGGGAGGAGCTGCTGTTCCTGGCCGCGGCCGACAGGCCCTGGCCACGACGACGGCCCCCCCGACATGAACTTTTCCATCCGGACGTTCTGTTTTCCATCCGGGAGGGGCGAGGAAGAGGGATGAGGAGGAGGGAGGAGGGGAGGGGAAGAGAGGACGAGGACGAGCGGGGACGAGGAGGAGGAGGAGGAGGAGGAGGAGGAGGAGGAGGAGGAGGAGCTGGGGCCGTCCTCCCCCTGCGCGGCCGCCCTAGTTTTGCTCCTCCCGCTCGCACCCCGGACAACTCGTGCCCCCGGGACGCCCCGATGAGCCACACGCTGGAGCGGGGTGCTTCTGCCCCGCCGCCGGCGAAAACAAGTGCTCTCCATCTCGGCCTCCCGGGCCCGTTCTCGGGGGACCTGGGGCCCTCAAGAGTGGATCCGGGGCGACGCCCCCGGGGGTCGGGACCTCTCGGGGCCGCGCCCTCGAAGAAAAGCACTCGTCTGATGCCTGGGGACAGCGGCGGCGGCAGCGTCGGCGGCAGCGGCCGACGGCGACCGACGACGGCGGCGAGTGGGGGAGGTTGTGGGACTGTGGGTCGAGGGGTCCCAGTGTCTCCACCATCACGTCATGATGGGCACGACATGGAAGCTGGAAACAGTGTCTCGGGCCGGCCCTTCCACTTTTCCGGCCCTGGCCAGCCTCCTTCTATTTTTGTCCCAGCCCTGGCGACCGCATCCCCACTCTTTCGGGTTCGTTTCACCCGCTGCCAGATTTTCCAGCCTCGGCCACGTCCACTTTCACAGATTTTCCAATTTCCGCTTGTTCCAGCTTCCCTGCACGAATGGAAGAAGAGAGTCACTTCACGACGACGCAGGTGAACTCTTCCAGGCACCCCGAATCGAATCCGACAAGCACGGATATCACCACGAAGCAGCATTGTTGGAATATTAAATGCACGGCGCCATGCACAACTTGACGCTAAACGCCAACTGTGCCAAGATCACGCTAAACAAAAACCGGGGTGCCAGCACACCCTAAGCACTACGATAGGTGCATCCATGCGCACCGAGACCAAAAGCGCGGACGTGAAGAATCTCCATGATCGCTTGGTGCACCAGCCTGTCGCCGTCCCAGGGCGCCAGCAAAAGAGCCCTTCGGAAGGGCAAAAACACCGCCACGGGCAGCAGGTCCAGGAAGTCGAAGGACTCCACCAGGCGTCCCTCGACAACCAGGAAGAGGGGACACATGGCGGAGACCTCGGCCCCAGTTTTTTTGAATTGCACATTTGAGCCGAGCATCGTTGCCACTGCAAGGCGCACTCGCGCCATAGCTGACACCCTACCCCTCCCATCCATAGCTGATTCAAAGCCACCCAAAGACAGAATGGTACCACCATGGTATGTGCAATCGGAAAAGGGTAGCTGTGTACATTAATTGGAAGAGGGGGAGGAGGAGGTAGCGGATGAGTTGGGAGATGGGCAGGAGGAAGAGGAGGAGAAGGGATAAGAAGGAAGAGAAGGAGGAGGAGCAGGAGGAGCAGGAGGAGGAGGAGGAGGAGCAGGACGAGCAGGAGGATCAGTGGAAGGCGAAAGAGGTGAACGGAGCGGAGAGACAATGATGAGGAAGGACTCCGATCCGGTAACGTGGCTTGCTCTGGTGCGATCTCGCCATTCTGAAGGACGGGAGCACAGTGCCGATCCTAAAATGAGGCGCGCTCTGCATCAGGAACACAACTTTAAATCACCAGAAACGCTCCCATGGCAACAGTAGACAGATAAAGAAAGCTCCGCACAACGTTTGAAGTCCTGCTTTTCAAACAACGGTACACTGACAGAGCGGGATAATTTCAGCTCGTAGTCGAGGGAGTGAGGAGAGTTGTAGTCATATGGGGCAAGTCTGGAGGACAACGGCGCTACGGGACCCAGGCCAAGTCTGAAACCCAATATCACTTGCCGCCGAGTGCCTTCGGTCGAAGGACTCTGGCGAATCTGCTAAGACATTACCGCCTGCTCTCTGTGATGGCTCTGGGTCTGCATTCAATATAAGATCGGCGGCGGCGGCGGCGACGACGACGACGACGACGACGAGGGAGCGGAGAAGATCTGGTCGTTCTTATCGCTTTGTGGGGGCCATGAAGCTGGGAGTTCCCGAAACACAGCGCAAGAAGTACATATCCAACCTCCGACCTTAGGACCGATGACGGGCGAGGAGGAGGAGGAGGACGAGGAGGGGGACGAGGAGGGGGAGGAGGAGGAGGAGGAGGAGGAGGAGGAGGAGGACGAGGACGAGGACGAGGACGAGGAGGACGAGGAGGACGTGGGGGATAAGGGAGACGCGGGAACGATGGGGGGAGGGCGGCAGGCCGCGCCTCCGCTGCGCCTGCAGGGGGGGGGGCGAGGGCGTGTTCGCCTCCGCCTGCTCTCGGCCCTTCTCTTGGGCGGCCGCCACGCGCAGGAAGCCGGGGGCACCGCCGAAGTCGACCAGGAGAGGGGGAGGCAGCGGGGAGGAGGGAGGACGCAGGATGGAGCAGGGAGGGGGTGAGGGAGGGGAGGGGGCGGGGGGGCGGGTGATGGAGGGATGGGGGGGAGGAAGGGAGGAGGCCCCAGGGAGGCGGAGCACGGGGGGAGGAGGGGTGGGGGAGAGGGCGGAGGAGGCATCAGAGAGAGGGAGGGAGGCGGCGAACGGGGGAGGGGCGGACGGGGGGAGGGAAGGCGGGCGCCGTCTGCACACGAGCGCAGGACGTGGGCATGCCAGTCCTGAAGGCCAGTATCGACGTGTGCGTGTGTAGAAGATGAGGTGGAATACCCTGACAATGGGGTAGATCCACTCTTGGTAGTTACGCAGCAACACGTACCCGCCGCCGCACAGGGGGCGGCGCTGGGTCATGAAGTCGTCCTTCAAGTCCGCTGCCAATGATGCCGATGCCCATCTCACAGATGGCCCTCAGCATGGTAGCTCTTCTGAGATTTGACGCGGGTTCTGCCGCGTACGTGATCCACCCACTTTTGGCCGAAACCCTTGGAAGGCTGGTCCAGAACGTGGGCGGTAAATCGTACTTTGAAGAAAGATCAGCTCTGAGCCCGCTCCACTGCGGGCACTCCACGACCTGATGACGTATAGATGGCCACAAGTGGCCGCAATGTGGGCACGGTAGCCCTGTCTGTCGACGCGTCTCCGACGAAGCCGCCCCTGAGCGGTACACTGAGAGGCTGAACTTCTCGGCAATACTCAATGAATGAAACCACTTTGTGAACACTTTATTGCTGCAGGCGTCGACATCCACTGACTCGACCTCCTCCGAATCTTTCCTGCGGGGCTCCACGATTTGAAGGCACCTGATCCTAGCAATGACCCGAAGGACATGTTGTGCTCTCTTTGAGTGCGTCCAGAATCGGTGCTGAGCGTCCGCCAAACCTTCCACAATCTGCAATACTCTGAAGTCGTCCATATGTGAGACTTCCAGTAAAACTCCACGTTCATCCGAAAATCGTATATACTCCAATCCCAGGGTTCTAGCGTGAACTTGGATAGAATTCTCTAAGAAAGATGACCAAACCAGCTTTTCGTCATGTAGACGTCTGAAGGCGAAGAGGCTGCACGAGTATACTGGGTGAAGCATGATGTTCTGGCACCACCATCTGCCCAGGCACCACCATGTATTCTGGGTACGCCATACTGCTCTCGCCAATAGCTTTGCCGTCTCTGTCGGTGGAGGTGTCACAATAGGAGTTCCCCACGTCCAAAGAGGTCTTAGGTATGTATAGGCCAACCGCAATCTCACCATGCAAGATCCAGGCACTGACTGAAGGATAGAAATCCCGACCCCTAGGCGCAGCCAGGGGTCGAGCTTCTCCAGGGCGGGCGTGGCCGGAGAATTGTGGCCCCCATTCGTCCTCCCCCATCGTCCCTCCATTCCCCCCCTCCCCATCTCCCCCTCCCGCTCCACCCCCATGACTCTTCCTGATCGGCACTTTCTCCATGTCGCGCCGCCAGGCATATCGATGGGGCTGAAGCTCGTAGCCGTGGCGGCTCAAGCCAGTTGGGCTCCAGTTTAAGTTGTTTGATAAAAGTTTTGGGTCAAGCCTATGGCTGAATCGTTACTCTACAACAGTATGTTTCGAGAACGCCCTAGATGTTAGACGTCCAACAGGGGTCCCGACCAGCCGTGTATCACTCCGAGGCGGCCGCAAAGGCGCGCGGGAGGACAGAGAAGTGGAGCGCAGCTATCCAATCGCTCCGCGAGGCATCTCGGCAATGTGCGAAGATCAGCCCAGGCGTGTACATTGCGACAGCCACCGCGTGCGGCAAAGCCCAGCAGTGGCAACGGGCGCTGTTGCTTCTCAGCGAGCTGGTCGAGGCGGAGGTGGAACCCAACGTCATCTCTTCTACATTGCAGGCCTCCGCGCGTGCGGCAAGGAATGTGCCTTGAGCCCCCCGACAAACAAAGGCTGCTGGTATTCCAGGAGTTGCCCCGCGGAGTGCCCACGGCGCCCTGCAGAGTCCCCCGCGGAGCCCCCCGAGACAGCCCACGACGGCGCCGAGGTGGCCGCGAGAGGCACTGCGAAGGGTCCTGCGGCGAGTGAGCCACAGTGATCCAGGCCTCCCAGGATCGCTCCGCATCGCCGATGCATCGGCGATGCGGCTCGTTGTGGAGCCCGATTTGCTTCACGTCGACGTCGCTGATGCATCGTCGATGCATCGGCGATGCGGCGCGGCCCCCCGACCCCATCTGCTCCGACCCCATCTAGGAGGCCTCTAAGTGAGCCTCGGAGCGTCCAGAAAGCCGACAACGCCCATGCAAACGCCACCCTGGCGCCCCCCCAAAGACGTCACCCTGCGGAGCCCTCGGAGGGCCGCATGCGCCCCCCAAGCGCCAGAAGGCGACGCCGAGGCGGCCCCGAGCGGCTCCACGGTGGCTGCGCCGAAAGCACACATTCTCACGGTTTCCGTACACCTCTTCCAAGAGGCTAGAAGTCATGATACAGAGACGTTCCAAGATGTCCAGGTTTCTTTGCAGCCCCAGGCAGCCAGAGAGGAATTGCCGAGCACGAGTCAGTTTCGGAACTTCCAGAACGCATTCTGAGCCAATCCTATCATGACGTGAGTCTCGTTTGGTTATCATCTGTTTCAGATTTTCCAGCTACGGATCGTTCCGCGCGAGCCCCTCAGGCCTGTACGTCGCCCCCAAGGCGGCCCCAGTTGGGCCTGGCCCGTCTCCGAGCTGGCTACCAGACGGCCCGAGACCGCCCCGATATAGCTCCCAGGCCGGATCGACCCCGGACCCGTCCCACAACAGCACCCAGAGGCCCCGGGGGCGCCCAGATTGCTCCCGGCGGCGCGGGAGGGCCCCGAGGGAGCCCCAGCAGCCCCGAAGAAGGCCAACACCATACCTTCTGATGGCTCGAGGGCCTCACCAGGGGAGCGGCCCAAGAGGAGCGGCCCAAGAGGAGACCAGGTGGTCGGCCACGCGCGCGCCGAGGCCACTGTTGCATTCGTGCGCCGGCCGCTTGTCAGGCATCCCTCTCCGCTTCTCGCTCCTCTCTCGTCCTCCTCCTCGCCCTGAGCTTTTCCCTCGTCCTGCTCGTCCTCCTCGTCCTGATCCCTCTCGTCCTCCTGGTCCTCCTCGTCCTCCTCCCTCGTCGCTCCCTTGCTTGCCCTCCTCCTCGCCCCTCTCTCCCCGCCCCTCTCTCGTCCCTCTTGGCTGCTGGGGCCCGCCGTCCCCACCCCACCCTTCTTCGGCTCTCCCTCCTCCCTGCTCGCCTCTCTCTCGCTCTCTCTCTCTCTCGTCCTGCTCGTCCTGAGCTTCCCTCGTCCTCCTCGTCCTCGTCCTGATCCCTTTCGTCCTCCTCGTCCTTCCTCGTCCTCCTCCCACTGCGCGGCGGTCGCTCCTCCCTCCTCGCTCTCTGCTCCTCGCGGCTCGCTCTCTCGCTTCTCCCGCCTCCCCCCCCCTCGGCCCTGACTCCTCCGCTCCTTGCTCCTCCCGCTTCTCGCTCCTCCCTCCTCGACCCACTGCCACGAGCAGCAGGGCTGCGTCGGCTGGCAGGAGCGCCGAGAGGCAGCACTGCAGCACCCAGCTGCCTCAGAGCAGCTGCAATCCGCAGCACAGCAGCAGCAGCAGCACACAGCAGCAGCAGCAGCGCGCGGCAACAGCAGCAGGAGCAGCAGGAACACGCGGCAGGCAGCAGCCCCCTGCAGCTGCAGGCGGCGACTTCCGAGGTGGAGCTTGGGCCCGACGTCATGCGGAAAGCCTTCCTGCAGCGTCTCCGCCCTGACCCAACGCCCCATCCATCTTGGACAGATCTTGTGGCAAGTGGGCTGCGGATCGGCACTCGCCTCCACTGCAGTGCAGCGGCCGCGCGTCCCCCCGAAAGGGGCTCCACTGGCGGCCCCGGAGCCCAGGGTCGCTCCAGGTGGGCCCAGCTGGAGGTCCAGGCCGCTCTAGCTGGGCCCATCGGAGCCGCCCTGGTAGCCTTCCGAGCGGTGATGGGCCTGTTTTCCACCACCACCACCACCATAAGTTAGAGGGGGAGGGGGTCCTCCTCCTCCTCCTCCTCCTCTTCGGCCTCCTCCTTCTCCTCCTTCTCCTCCTCCTCCTCTTCGTCCTCCTGCTTCTCGTCCTCCACCTCCTTCCCACCTCCCAACTTGTGGTTGTGGTGGTGGTGGTGGTGGTGGAAAACAGGCCCATCAGAGCGGCGCTCCGACGGCGCAGCAGACTGCTGAAAATCGCCCAACGACGGCCCAGGAAGCGCCACTGACGCCCCGAGACGGACCCTCGGCAGGGCCCCGAGAGGGCCAAATCGTGTGCGTTCCATTTTTTGGCGTTTAAAGGACTTGGTGGTCTCGCCTTTCCGGGCGTCCGACGCTCCAAGAGGGCCCAAGAGGTTCCCCACCTTGCCACACGACGGCCCGACAGGCCCCCAAGAGGACCTCCTGGCGCCCCGAGAGGGGACACTCGAACTGACATCTCACGTCCTCCGCCTCGAGATGACCACCGAAACCGCCAGCAGGCCCCGCGGGAGGCCGAAACCAGGCCCCGAGGGGCGCCGGGACAACCCCCAAAACTGGCACCACGAGGCCTCCGAGGGAAGACCCCTTGGAGAGCTCTGGGGTCGCGCCAACCACACGCGCGCCGAGGCCGTTGAGGCATTCGTGTGCTGGCCTCGTCTCATGCCTCCCTTCTCGCTCCTCGTTCCTCGCAGCATCATCCTCGCTCCTCTCCTCCCACTCCTCGCTCCTGGCCCCCTTCTTGGTCCTCCTCGCTGCTCCCACCTCTCTCGTCGCCCCCGCGCGTCCCTCTTGGCTGCTGGTGTCTGGCACCTCCCCCTCCCCCTCCTCTTCGGCTCTCCCTCATCACTCCTCGGCTCTCTCCATCTCTCCTGGGTGGTCGCTTCTGGCCTTTCGCTCCCCGCACTTCGCGGATCGCTCCTCGCTCCCCCCCACCTCCTCCCTCGACCCCGACTCTTCGCTCCCTGCTCGCTCCTTGGTCTGCCCACGAGCTGCAGATTGCGTCAGCTAGCCAGGGCACCAAGAAACAGCTCCCTGAAGCCTCAGCAGCAGCGAACAGCAGCAGTCCGCAGCAGACAGCGGCGGCACACTGCAGTTGTGAACAGCAGCGGCAACAAGATGCCGCATGCAGCACCGGTCAGCTACAACGCTGGGATCAGCGCGTGCGTGAAGGGCGAGCAGTGGCAGCGGGCGATGGCGCTTCTGCGCGAGATGCGGGAGGCGAAGGTGGAGCCCGACGTCACTTTTGCTCTACAATGCCGCGACCAGCGCGCGCGAAGCAGCGCTCCAGTGACCACGGCCCGGTCTGCCTACGCCGCTCCGCCTGGGCCTTGGGAGCCACCATGGCAGGGCTCGTTTCGATTCCTCCGATTCGATTCGATTCGATTTCGATGGTTTCCGATTCCGATTCGATTCGGCTTCGGATTCCGATTTGGGCTCCGATTTCTTACTGGAGGCACACTAGCCTGCCGATTTCCGCCGATTCGACTTCTCCCGACTCGGCTGCCGATTTCCGCCGATCCGCCTGCCATGGTGGCCGCGGGAGCGGCCGCGGACCGTCCAAGACGGCCCGGGGCGGCACACACCCGCCCTGACACCGCGCGGAATGGCCCCAGCACAGCCGAGGGGCCCCAGCAGGGTCCCCCAAGAAGGCCTCCAGGGCCACAAGTCATGCGTTCTCTGTTCTGCTTTGTCACTGAGGTTCGCGTCCTCGTCTCCTCGAGCTTCAGGCAGCCCACGACGGCCCAAGGGGCCTCCCAGATCGCGGGTCCCAGACAGCCAAGGAGAGACCGAAGCAGCCCCAGACAGTTTCAAAACCGCGCCACTGGGATCGCCGCGGGGGGGGGGGCTACAGGCAATAGGGGGGGGCTACCAGTGGACGCTAAGGCGGGTCATATTTAGCATGGCTTCACTGGACCACAGCTGCCCTGTAGCGGCTTAGGGCGAGCAAAGATCCAGGGCAGGAGTCTTCAGTGGAGTTCTCTCGCACCCTAAGCCATTAGAGGCTCTTGCAACCCACGTGAAAGCCAAGTTCGGCCAGATGTAGCCCACCTTAGCATCCACTCGTAAACCCCTTGTCCCCTCAGCAACCCCCGCGGCTGTCTTAGCAAAGGGCGCCAACAGGGCGTCCCCGTGGTCGCAAGGGGAGTCAGGAGAGGCCCGAGAGAGCCCCGAGAGGGGCCCACAACAGCTTCTTCGGAGCTATCACTTTGAAAAGCTGGCCGACGTGACGGATCATAGGGTCTCCTGGGGGCCTTCCCAAGAACACTAAAGGATCTGATTGGACGGCTCTGGAGTGCCCCAGGTGGCTTCAAGGGGAGCCAGGAGAGGCCGAGAGAATTCCAAGAAAGGCCCACGCTGGCCCTGGGAGCTGTGACTTCAAAGGCCGCCCAAGAGTGATGGATCAGCGCCTGGGGCCCTCCGAGGGTCTGTTTTGCGCTGCTGACGCCTCGCGAGCGCAGCCAGCGTGTTGGGCCTGTTTTCCACCACTGCCATAAGTGCGAGGAGGGAGGGGGTCCTCCTCCTCCTCGTCGTCTTCCTCCTCCTCATCCTCCACCTCCTTCCCCCCTCCAACTTGTGGTGGTGGTGGTGGTGGTGGTGGAAACCAGTGCCCGTCACAGCGGGCCCTTTGCCCGCGAGGGCCCGCACGTGTATGCAGGCGCACACGCTCCGGAGTGTTCAGCAAGCGCCCTCCCCGTGCCGCTCCGCCCGACGGCCCGCTCCAGCCCCCCCCCCGCCCCGGACGCGCGCCGAGCCTCCCTCCGACGTGCTCGAGGCCCCCCCCCCCCTCTCCGACGCCCAGCGACGGACGGGCTCTCTCTTCTCCTCGGGGGCCTGGAAACGGGGGTCCATGCAAACAGGGTTCCGCCGGAGCGCCCGATCTGGCAGGATCCTGCGCGGGCCGGCCCCAGCGCGTCCCCGGGTGCCCGGCGCGCTCCACGACGGCGCCCGAGAGGTCCCCAGGACGGTCAAGGATGGCCAGGTTTGCCTCCAGACGGTCCGACAGGTCGCCACCATGACCTTCAGACAGCCCAACAGAGCTCCAAGAGAAGACGCCCCAAGATGGGTCCAAGGGGGCCCCGAGAGGCCAAACTCATGGTTGCTGAGGGAGTTGGGCGATCTTGCCTTTTCAGATCTCCGACGCCCCAAGACGGCTCAAGAGGCCCCCAAGATCGCCTCAAGACGGCCAGGCAGGCCCCCAGGAGGGTCCCGAGAGGGGCTAAGAGGACCCAAAGACGGCCCAAGAGGCCCCCAAGACGGCCCAAGGTGGCCCGAAGAAGGCCCCAAGATGAGGAGCTCGAACTGACATTTCGCGCCCTCCGCCCTACGACCACCCCCGAGGCTGCCAGCATGCCTTCGAGAGGTCCCCCGAAAGCCCCAAGAGGCCCCCGAGAGGTCAAAATCAGGCTTCAAGGCGCCCCCGAGAGGCCGCACGACATTCCCAAATCCGTCTCCAAGAGGCTTCCGTGGGATCTCAAAGAGAGCTCTGGGGCCGCGCCAGCCACTGAGGCGCTTCTCATTCTTCTCCATTCTTGGGGGCGGCTCTGGGCTGATTGGGCGACCCCTCGGGGAGTTTTCCCTGCTAGTGCTCCGGGCCCGCCGGCCACCTTGGGCATGCCCCGCAGTCCCGTCTGCAGTGTTCCGAGCCCATGGTCATCATGAGCGACTCCTTGCAATCTATCCACCTTACATTGGGAACCAACGCCAAGAACCACCCTGCTTGCCTCCAGGGTGCCCTGGGATTCTTGGGGTTCGATGGCTTTGCGACGATGAGCGTGACGTTCCCGCCAAAAATTCATGGAGGTCCTGGGGTCTCAGGGTTAGGTTCTTTTTCCCGGAAAGGGCGGGGGCCCAGGGTTCTCTTTTAGTAGGTAAACCTGTCCCCCGGTGCCAACTTGAGGGAGGCCGGCGAATTTTTTCCCTGATAAATAACGAGGTCGAAGGAGGCCGGCGAATTAAAATTTGAGGATGTCTCGAGCGAAACGCTTGTTTTTGAAATCCCGATCGATAAATCACAGGGTGCGGGCCACTTTTTCGTGTGTTGAGGATGTCTCGAGCGAAACGCTTGCTCCGCAGAGTTTGCCGAGGATGTCTCGAGCGAAACGCTTGTTTTGCAGAGCCGACCGCGACGCGGAAAAGCGCCCCGCGCGAAGGAATTTCGATGATGTCTCGACTAATTCGTTTGTTTTTGTACGATTTCCTGGAATTTTGGCAGGATGTCTCGAGCGAAATGCACGACCCCACCCTAGCACGACCATACCCCAGCACGACCACACCCCAGCACGACCAGACCCCAGCACGACCCCACCCCAGCACGACCCCACCCCAGCACGACCATACCCCAGCACGACCACACCCCAGCACGACCCGACCCCAGCACGACCCTACCCCAGCAAGACCACACCCCAGCACGACCACACCCCAGCACGACCTCACCACAGCACGACCACACCCCAGCACGACCACGCCCCAGCACGACCACGCCCCAGCACGACCACGCCCCAGCACGCACCACCACCCCCCCAGCACGACCACCCCCCAGCACGACCACCCCCAGCACGACCACACCCCAGCACGACCACCCCCAGCACGACCACACCCCAGCACGACCACACCCCAGCACGACCACACCCCAGCACGACCACACCCCAGCACGACCCCACCCCAGCACGACCCCACCCCAGCACGACCCCACCCTAGCAAGACCACACCCCAGCACGACCACACCCCAGCACGACCTCACCACAGCACGACCACACCCCAGCACGACCACGCCCCAGCACGACCACGCCCCAGCACGACCACGCCCCAGCACAACCACCCCCCAGCACGACCACCCCCCCAGCACGACCACCCCCAGCACGACCACCCCCCAGCACGACCACACCCCAGCACGACCACTCCCCAGCACGACCACACCGCCTTGGTTGAGTGGTTGCCTGTCGTCGTGGAATGTTTCGTGGGGTGTCTCGTGGAATGTTTCGCGGGGTGTCTCCTGGAATGTTTCGTGAGGTGTCTCGCGGAATGTTTCGTGAGGTGTCTCGTGGGATGTTTCGTGAGGTGTCTCGTGGGATGTTTCGTGAGGTGTTGCCCCGTTGGGTATCGTGAAAACGTGCCCATGCTCCACATGTCTATATCCCTTTCCGGGTTCGTGGGTCCATCATGTTGGAAGGTTCCTTGTGGTCGGGCCCCTACTGTATTCCAGCGTCCGATCTCAGACATGTTCGTGGACGTAGTCCATGGGTCAGCCCTGGTCATCCTTTATCCTACATCCTACAAGACCAGGAGCAGGGCGGGGCGCGTGGCTGGTGGTGGCAGTGCTAGGGGGGCCTGCCAAAAGGGCCCGCCGCGAGTCGAAGAGGCCTGCAGGTTCGCAAACGGCCCAAGCGAGTCCAAGCGGCCTCCAAGTTTGCCGAAGATGCATCACGGCTGAGGACGGCCTCAAGATGGTCCAAGATGGCGTCCAGACGGCCTCACAGGACTCCAAAAGGCTCCCAGAGCGCTCCAAGAGAACTCCGAGCAGGACCTCCCAGTGCAAGCATAACGGGTTCCCACCGGGTTTCCAACATTTCTCGCATACACGACTTGGAGCTCTTGCCGCGCTGACGGCGGCCCAACAGGCCCAAGATCGCCCCAAGCGGGGTCAAGTGGCCTCCAAAGAGGATACCAAGAGGGCCCAAGACGCTCCAAGAGAGCCCCCAGACGGACCAGGAGGCGCCCAAGACGACCCAAGATGGCCCAGAGAACGGCCCCAAGAGGCCTCCAAGAAGAGGGCCCGAGAGGGCTCTTCTCAGCCACGCGCAGAGGGGGGTGGGGGGAGGGGGGAGGGCTTCTTAGAAGCGCCCATGCTTCTTAGAAGGCGCTGGCCTCATCTGTAGATGAAAGGCCGGCGCCTTCTAAGAAGCAGCTCCTTCTAAGAAGCCCCCCCCCACCCACCACCCCCTTGTGCTCGCCGCCAATCTTCAGAGCCCCAAGAAGGCTCCAAGAGGGCTTCAAAACGAGATAGATCACTGATCTATGTGGTTTTGGCCCCTACGGAAGCCCCTCCGAGCTTCTCAGAGAACCTCAAAAAAGAAGCCCCAAGAGGCCTCCAAGGGGGCCGCAGAGGGCCCGGAGAGGGCCCTTCAGACCGTCAGGAGGGCGCCCGAGGGCGCCAAGAGAACCACACACCAGAGCCCAAGAAGGCTCCCCAACGGATGCTACAGCTCCCGGTGGCAGCAGGCTCTGTCGCAGATCGGCGAGGTAAACTATTCCAAGGTCGAGCCCGACGTTATGAGCTACAGCGCTCGGATCAGCAAAAGAACGACGGGCGAGCAGTGGGGCCGTCGTTGTCGTCGTCGTCGTCGTCGTCGTCGTCGTCGTCGTCGTCGTCGTCGTCGTCGTCGTCGTCGTCGTCGTCGTTCGCACCCGTCGCCGCCGCCGCCTGCAGCAAGACGACAACATGCAGCGAGCAGAAGCAGGCAAAATTGACCAACAGCACGCAATAACACGAAGTCGCAACAAGCAGCAGCCCACTCCGCCTTCGGCGTGGCTCCCTCTCCTGCGCTCCTCCACTGCCTTTAAAGGGCAGCCGCAACTCCGTTTCGGTCTGGCTCGCGCTCCTAGGCTTAAGTCGGGCCAGCCCCTCTACAGGAGGAGTGTTCAAAAATAGTAAACAATAGTATAGGGACGCTTTTTCCCGGAAAGGGCATGGGCCCAGGGTTCTCTTTTAGTTGGTAAACCTAATCCCCCGGTGCCTGCTTGAGGGAGGCCGGCGAATTTTTTCCCTGATAAATAACGAGGTCGAAGGAGGCCGGCGAATTAAAATTTGAGGATGTCTCGAGCGAAACGCTTGTTTTTGAAATCCCGATCGATAAATCACAGGGTGCGGGCCACTTTTTCGTGTGTTGAGGATGTCTCGAGCGAAACGCTTGCTCCGCAGAGTTTGCCGAGGATGTCTCGAGCGAAACGCTTGTTTTGCAGAGCCGACCGCGACGCGGAAAAGCGCCCCGCGCGAAGGAATTTCGATGATGTCTCGACTAATTCCTTTGTTTTTGTACGATTTCCTGGAATTTTGGCAGGATGTCTCGAGCGAAATGCACGACCCCACCCTAGCACGACCATACCCCAGCACGACCACACCCCAGCACGACCAGACCCCAGCACGACCCCACCCCAGCACGACCCCACCCCAGCACGACCATACCCCAGCACGACCACACCCCAGCACGACCCGACCCCAGCACGACCCTACCCCAGCAAGACCACACCCCAGCACGACCACACCCCAGCACGACCTCACCACAGCACGACCACGCCCCAGCACGACCACGCCCCAGCACGACCACGCCCCAGCACGACCCACCACGCCCCAGCACGACCACCCCCCAGCACGACCACGCCCCAGCACGACCATCCCACAGCACGCCCACACCCCAGCACGACCACTCCCCAGCACGACAGTACCCCAGCACGACCACCCCCCCAGCACGACCACGCCCCAGCACGACCACGCCCCAGCACGACCACCCCTCAGCACGACCACCCCCCCAGCACGACCACCCCCCAGCACGACCACCCCCCAGCACGACCACACCCCAGCACGAACACTCCCCAGCACGACCACACC